TTTATTAAGCAAAAAAAAATTTTTTTTATATTAATTTATTTTTAAAAGCTTTTTTATATATTTTAATTTATTTACATTCCTAATTTTTTTAAATTTTTATTTCTACTTTTTTTTATTTTTGTTTTCGTAAAGAGAGAAAAAATTTTAATTTTTTTGCAAATATCAAGCTATATAATATATAAATGATTATGTGAGATAAATTTTAATTAAGCGAAAAAAGCTCCAAAAAAATAAATAAAATAATAATAATAATGATTTTGAATTGTGTTAATAAATGAATAAATTATGCCGGCAGCATTTTTCGTTAAATAATAAAAATTAAAAATAAATAAAATATATCGACGCTGATTGCCGAATAATTAAAATATTATTAAACTAATTTTTAAAAAAATTATTATTTAACTAATTTTTTAAATTAATATTGTCGTTAAAATTTTTTTGTTTAAATATTTTATTTCGATTCTATATAATCGCGATAAATAGAATTTAATATAATCGTCGATTTCTACATCATAATCGCGATAAATCATTTGATTATAAATAATTAATTAATAATAATCGATTCTAAAATTAAAATATTTTTTTGTTGTAATCCATTAATATTTTATAAATAATTTTTTTTTCATTTTTTTGCATTTCTATGATTGAACGATAAAACAATTTTTTTTTTTTTTTTTTTTTTAATTCTTCGCAATGGAAATTTCATTTAACAATTGCAAGTTAAAAATTTTTTTTTTTTAAATTGTAGCAATATCAAATCCTCATGATTTTTTAAAATGAAACGTTTTCATTAATCTTATTCCTAAATTTCGTATAAACGATTGAACTTTTAAATTTTTTTCTCTTTTCATTTCGATCAATTGCGGTTGTTGATCCGTTAAATTTTTTTTCCCAAAGTTTTTCGTTTCTTGTGCCACGTTCATGTGATTGCTTTGATCTAATTTTTTTACATCGTTTATAATTTTCGTTTTTGATTTTGAACTGCTGGCGGCGTTTGGCGACTCGTTACTTTTTTCCGAAAGTATCGAGTATTTTTCAATCGTGTTTGAATCGTTGTTAGATGAATTCCATTCATCTATAACATCGTAGCATTTCCCCCTGAAATTGAAATTTATTAAACAATAATGAAATGAAAAAAGTAAAATGAACGAAATACATATATAAATAATAATGATAATAATAATAATAATTTTTTTTTTTTTTTTTTAGGACGAATCTGCGCGCAAAATTCAACCATTCGGAACGAAAAGTACAGCATCCCGACTCCCGATTAGAAAACGAAGGTAAAGTACAAATTAATTCAATAATTACAACAGTGTGATAATTTCATTCATCGAAAAAAAAAAATGGGCGATGATAATAATATTAATACTACCTGAAATTAATGGCGTCTAAATATATGCGATGTTCGTTGTCCTCCATGCATCAAGGTTCATTCATTGTAAATTGTGTAGCACCATTATTGGTCATATTATTTAATATTTCACTAACATAAAGAGCCACATCAACTTTATCTTCATCTGATTTTTTTATAAAAGGATGTTGAAGAAGAGCATTATATTTGGGTCTCTGATCCTCATCTTTAATTAAACTGTATTTAAAATTGAAAAAGCGAAATTATTTTAGTAAAAATTTTGATTTAACTCTTTTTAATAATTGTGTGAATGCAGATTTAATTTTAAATAGGAAAAATAATTTCCTCTTTTGAAAATTACCATGTATTAACAAATCGTACAAAGTCCATTGTAAAAGTGATTCCATCTTCATTGGGAGATAACCTGGGTGGATCACCTTTAACAACTTGATTTAATTGTTCAAACACTGTATTCCATTTAGGATATGGAAAATGACCTGTTGACACTTCCATTAATGTAATTCCTAACGACCAAACATCAGATCTCACATCATAACCTTTAGCAGTTTGTGGATCTATCCTTTCAGGCTTTAATAACCATTAAATTAAATTAATTTCATTTAATTGAAATTTAAAAATGAATAATTAAAAACAAAAAAGTCGACTTACTGCCATGTAAGGTCTGCAGCCAGCGTCTCTTGTTCTTGCAATTGAATCAACCAGTTGTCCAGATATACCAAAATCACATAATTTGATATTTCCTTGTTTATCTAATAATATATTGCTAGGTTTCACATCTCTGTGAATTATTTGAAGTTCTTCTTTTAAGTAATTAAGAGCTTTAACAGTCTAGAAAAAAAAAAAAAAATTTTTTTTTAAATGTTAAATAATTTTTTTTTTGTTTGTGTACTTTTAAAAACATTTACATACAGCAACGGTTATTTTTCCTATAATATTTTCCGGAATTCTTTGCTTTAGTTTTTCATAAATAAATTTATAAAATTTATCTAATGAAGTATCCATAAGTTGCATACATATCCAACAATCCCCCTCTTTGAATAAAGCACCATAAAATTTAACAATAAAAGGGCAATCATTTGATTTCATAACAACATCTAAATCCATAAGCAAAATTTTTTGCTCTCTTTCATCAATTGTAGATCTAATTCTCTAAAATGAAACAAATTAATATATATGATACTTTTAACTTCTGACACAAGTGATAGAATTTAATTATTGGTTTTAAATTGAAATATTACCTTTACAGCCATCACTGTATTTGATTTTCTGTGTATCATTTTGTTAACAGTACCAAAAGCTCCTCGTCCTATTTCACCTAAATCTTGAAGATCGTCAGAAGTAAAATCATAAACTGAATTTGGTGATACTTCTAATCTACCAGATGATTGCATGGTTTGAGTTAAATTTAATCTTTCCCTAAGAAAAAATATGATTATTTAATTAATATTTTCTTACTGTTGTAAACTAATGAAAATGTTTTTTAACTTACCGAGACATTTCTATTAAAATTTCTTGATTAAATGGAACTATTTTGGGTAAATTTTGCCTATGGTTAGTTGGAATGGTTCCATCTTTCATTAAAGTAGAAGGAGGTGTATTGAAGTGATTTAAATTCATCTTCAAATTTTTTCTTTTTTCTACACAAAAAAAAAAAAAATTCAAATGGTTAGAAAATTATTTTAACCATGTTTTCAAATAATTATCATAAAAAATTTTTATTTTTTAATAATTTTGAAAACACATTCCTACATCATTATAATCTAAAACAGAATATTTTATTTTCTATGAATGAAATAAGTATTATTTTCAGTCAGTTGAATTTTTTAATATCAGTAATTAAGTTTTAATGTATGTAACTTAAAGTACTAACATGATAAAGTAAGTAAATCTGCAAGCAGATGATTACAAAATCTCAGAAAATATTACAAATGTGTAAATTAATTGTAAGGTTTAATCTACGTCTGTCTATTCTTTTAAAAAATTTTGTTTGTATTGCATGTAAAAACTAAAGGTATTTAAATACTAAAAAAATATTAAATAATTTTAAAAAATCTTGAAAATTTTAAAATATGTACCTTGATTTTGATTAGAAGTATTTCTATCATCCATTTTAAAATTTGACGTAATTAATATTTTATGTAATTATTGTTAAGCCATACAACAAATTATTAATTATTTCTATAAATTAAAAATGTTTTAGAAACATAAACGTAAAAAAAAAAAAAAAACAATAAGGAGGTAAGATACTGTACATAGCATTAAAATTTCTATTGATAAATTCTTGTCCTACAGACTGACCAACATAGCACTTGTTGTCTAGGTACACGAAAAGGAAATTCATAAAAAGTTTTCTTTTATATTAAATAAAATTTTATTCGTATAAATAATTATATGAGATTGATATTAAATAAGTTTTATTTTAAATATTGTTTTCGAAACGAAACGACTTGTTTAAGTAATTTTACTTATTAAATTTCTTTTATTAATGAAAAATATTAACTCGTACTTTGTAACATTCCTATGTCGAATGCACTGGCGGTGCCTCGTGTGGAGCATGTAAAACGATTTGTTTTTACTGAAAAATCGGATTCTGACGAAAAGTTTTCTGTAGAAGTAGTTATTGTAGAGGTAATTCGTAATTTTATCAAAAAAATTTAATTTTTAACGATTTTTCTTTTTGCTAAATAGGATTTCCTTCAATAAACACTATTTTTAAAAATAAAAAAAAACCTCAGAATTATTTTTTATTTAAATTTGATAAAAAAAAAAAAGAGCAGTGGAATATTTTTTTATTTAAAAAATATATTAAATTTATAATAATTAAACCAATTTTTTTAGTAACAGTTTTTTTTTTACTTATATACTGATAATATTTTAATTTTTTTTACTTTAGTACATAATTTATAATTTGATTCTCCAAGTACTTATTACCTAATAAAAAATAAATTGAAAGAATTTATATGTGCAGTAGTTTCAATACAGTTAACTTTTTTTTGTTTATTTTTAAATTTTTTTTAAAAAAAATATAGAAAAAGTTGTGTACTGTTATATTTATGTAAATAACTTTTTAAATTTTTCAGCAACTTCAAGCAAGTTATAGTTTTTATACTTGGCCTTGTGCACCTTATTTGGCTTGGTATCTGTTTGAGCATCGAACAGAATTAGAAGGAAAGCATATTTTGGAATTAGGAGCTGGAACATCATTACCTAGTATTTTGGCAGCCAAGTGTGGAGCCAAAGTTACAATATCAGATAGTGCTTTACTGCCTAAAACTTTACAGCACATACATCAAATTTGTCAAACAAATCATTTGGATCCTGATCAATACCAAGTTTTGGGTATCACTTGGGGATATTTTTTTAATCAATTGTTTGAATTAGGCGATCTTGATTTGATCATTGCATCAGATTGTTTTTATGAACCATTATTGTTTGAAGATATTTTAGTAACCGTTTCTTTTTTGTTAAACTGTCACCCGCAATCTTTGTTTTTGTGTACTTATCAGGAAAGAAGTTCGGATTGGACTATAGAACATTTGTTAAATAAATGGTCGTTGAGTTGTAGGCATATTGATATAACTACATTAGGAAATAAATCATTTATAAATACAGAAAGTTTTGTTCAAGATCACACGATTCATTTATTAGAAATCAAAAGAAAATGAGCAATATAAAAGCATTGAAAAAATTATTTGTTAGTAATTTACCCTACACTGTTGGAAAAAGAGAATTTAAAAAATATTTTGAAACCTTTGGTAAAGTTATATATGCTGATGTGATTTTTGATTGGAAAACAGGATTTTCTAAAGGTTATGGTTTCATTTTATACAAAAATGAAAGTTCATTAAAGTCTGTAATGAGCAGCCAACCACACACATTAGAAGGAGGAAGATTAGTAGTGAGGGAAGCCATCGAATAGTTAAACATATAAAATAAATTTTAGATTTTTGTCTTTTTTTTTTTTTTTTTTGTAAATTTGTTTTCAATATGGCAAGTAATATTACTTTAAGCGACACAGAAGATTTAAAAAATTTGTTTGATAAGGCATCTTCTCATGTTAAAAATATTGTCGGCAATCTTACAAAAGAACAACTTCTCGAGTTTTATGCTCATTACAAACAAGCAATAGAAGGCCCTTGCAATAAACCCAAACCCTATTGGTATGAATTTTCCGAAAAGCAAAAATGGGAAGCATGGACAAATTTAAATGACATGGATTCTAATTTAGCCATGGAAAAGTACATTAAATTATTAAATGATATTGATCCAGAATGGAATGATAAACCTGTTTCGAATGTTAAAACCCAAGGTTGGGTACATCACAGCTGTATGGAAAACAATGATGAAGTCATTGAAGAATCTAAAAAAACAGTATTCGATTGGGTCAAAGAAGGAAATTTGGATAAAGTTAAAGCTTTAACTTCAAATATTAATTTAGAAATAAATAAATTAGATGAAAGCGGATTAGGTTTATTACATTGGGCATCCGATAGAGGAAATATAAACGTAGTTAAATATTTAGTTGAAGAATTAAAGGCGGATGTTAATTTAAGAGATGGCACCGGACAGACTCCGTTGCATTTTGCTGTCATTTGCGAATATGATGACGTAGCTAATTACTTAATTGAATCTGGAGCTGATGTTAATATCAAAGACGATGAAGGATTAACTCCTTATCAGGTTTCGGAGTAGTACCTTAATACCTAATAATAAAGATTAATAAGATATTAAAGATTTTCTTCGTCTGCCGTCAATTTAATAATAATATTTATTTATTTTTACATTATAACTATTACAAACTATATTTCTTTTTTCATTTTAATTAATAAAAGTTAATAAAACTTGATATTTTTTTTTTATTTATACCTTGTTGACATGTCTTCTTCTGGGATGTTAGGATAAAAATATTAAGCTTTAAGGAAAAATATATTATAATAATTTATTTTATTTAATATATATATATAATTTCACAGTAAATTTTTTTTTTATATAAAAATTTTAACAACGTAGACAAAAATATACCAATTAATTTATTTTTCAATTATTATCAAATGATTACAAATGTTAAATTATTATTATTATTATTATTGGTTTTTTCTCTCATAATGATTGTTTAAAATGATTATTATTATTTTTAATTAATAAAATAAATACGATAACGTTTTTATTGTTATATAAAATACAAATTTTGATAAGTATATATTTCATAATAAAAATAAAAGCAATTTATAAATAATAATAATAATATTTTTTTAGTAGTAAATACTAAGCAAAAGTAATAATGTTTCAGTATAAGAAAAAAAAAAATGTTTTTTAAATTTATCAAATGGTAAGTTTTTTTTTTTTAATTAATTAAATTTTTTTTTTTTAAATTTAATACGACAAAGGCAAGTCAATTTATTAAATTTTTTATTTTATTTTAATGCAATGCAAAAAAAAAAAAAAAACAATTAGGCACACAGTTTACATATTATGGTTAGCCTTTATTTAAATAATAATAATAATAATAATTAATATAAATATATATTCGATATTTCCTTTGGTAAAAATTTTTATGAATTTTAAATTATGATTTATTAAATAATTAATTCATTATGATTATATTTTTATATATAAATATATAAAAAAAAATGATTAATGATAATAATAATGATTTTAAAAAAAACCTAATCACAATGTTTTTATATAATCAAATGATTTTAAATTAAAATTATTTTAACAATATTCAATATATATATAATCATAATAAAACTTATATAAAAACAAAACTTTTTAAAAATTAAACTAATTTAAATTATTTTTAAAAAAAATTAAAATTTTAAAATGTAATTAAAAAAAAAATTAACGTTTTACAAAATTGCACTTGAAAAGCTGAATTTATTATTATTATTATTAAAAAAAAAAAAAAAAAAAACCTACTAAGAGTTAAACAATAATTAATTATAATGATTACAAATTATTTTTGCAAAATATTTTTTATAGGCAGCCTTATAAAAAAAAAATTATACGTACATTTATATATGCTTATTTATTTATTTATTTATATATATATATATAGGTAATAAAGTTAACGTTTTTATTGCCTTATTATAAATTTGAGCTTAAAACTGAACAGAATTTAATAATATTAAATACTCCCACGTAAAATAAAGAAGAAGAGTAAAAAAAAAAAAAAATGCAAAATGCAAAAAATTAAAATAAAATTGTTATTATTGGTAATTAATTCCTATATATATATATATACGTATCTTACTCGATTAAAATCAATTAAATTATTATCACACTGAATCATAGCAAAAAAAAAAAAAAATAAATAAATAATTATAAAGTCGATGATGAAATGATGAATTATCATTAATACTTTTATTAAAAATCTGTGCTTTCGCTTTGAGAATTTGCTCTGGGTTTCGCGGGAACCGGAGGAGGAGGCGGTGAAGTCTGTGGATGTTTTATAAAAATGGAAGACACGGGAGGTGAAGACGACATCGATAATGGAGGAGTAGGAGAAGGAGTTTCGGATGTTGTGTTGGTACTACTCGTGAACTGTTTTATGCAATGACTATTCCCGCTGCTCATGTTGGTACTAATGTTTACGTTTCCGTTATTATTATTATTATTATTACTCGTATTATCACTGGGTTTCATGTCGATTATTTGACCGTCGGAAAAAGTTCGAGTATGACTAGAAGGCGGTGAAGAAAATTTATAGTCTGGTTTTGGCGGTCTTTCTGGCTTTTCGGAACCTGAAACATTCGATTTGGAATTTTTATTTATTTGAACCATCGTTTGAATTTCCCCTCTTCCCCCCATCGCAAAAATCATCGTGAAAGGTGATCCTTACCTGGTAGTGACAAAGGCCTATTTGACGTCACCGCCGCAGTCTTTCTTTCTTGCACAACAACAACATCCTTATCATCATCATCATCAGCATCAGCATCTTTATCAACTTCACTCTCAAATGTTTTATTATCGTTTACGGTTTTCTCCATTGATGTCGTTCTACCACTTGGAATTAAATCGGCATCGTCATCGACGACACCAGACGTATTATTATCGGAAACTTTATTATTGGAATTATTTTTATTACTACTTCCAACTTCTATAACGGATATTTGTTGTTGCTTATTTATAACCGAATAATTTTTTTGTAACGTTCTATTATCATCAGTGCTACCGGTATTTAAATTTTCATTCGACGAAAGCAATATGTTCTCGTAATTATTTCTAAAATTATTAGGATCCATGCTCGTGCGATTCATTTTGAAAGCCTGAGGTTTCAATGTTAAAGGTCGTTCGGGAATGGCGGGTTTTTTCAGAGGTAAATTATCTATGTCGGCACTGTCTTTCCCAAGGAGCCATTCTTTTTTAACACTAATTAAATTCACTTTGCTGTATTCCGGCGGTTTATT